GAGTCAAGAATTCACAGCAGATCATTGGAGAAATCTCGCAGCATATTTCGAAAAGGTAAGATATAAAATTAAAAATAATTTGTATTAATAAATATTTATATAGGGTGGGCGATACCTTGTATACTGTGAAGTCGGAAGGAGAATTTGGACACAGTATAGTCAAGATAGAGATTTATCCATTTGCAGAATGTTCAAAAGTGGACAGGACACAATGGTGGAAAAAAGCAACCCTCCGGAGTGTCTTCTTGACTTCATCACCTGTGGACCCATTAGACATTCAAATTCAAAAAATAATGAATATGACGGGTCACCAGCTAAAAAAGTTAAAAACGAAGAAGGAAGTCAAACGACGGCTCATGGGGTGGTTATGCGAACATGCAACATCCCCAGTAAAGGGAATATTTACAAGTAGGTTATGGCTTCAAAGTGAATTTATATATTTTAATACACAGCGGTTTTGGGTTAAAAAAACATTAGAAATATATAATAATTTATATATGGATAAATCAACTTCCGAAATTTATTTATTATTTAAAGATAAAAACAGTCTTTATACAATGCACCTCACGGTAATATATCTGAATATTATTATTCTCTTGATGAATCTACTAATTTTTTGGATGAATTATTATTATTTCAATTTAATGATAATAAAAAAGAAGTACGAAAATTTTTAATAGATTTATTAAATATATGCGATAAAGTTTTACCAAAAACTAATAGTTTCATGATTGTAAGTCCATCTAATGCAGGAAATATTGGGATTTTTATAAACAGGATGATTTTTTATAGAAGCAGTATGTAATTATTATATTAGTGTAGGGGTTATGGGAAATTTTAATAGATATAATTCTTTTCCTCTTATGGAATGTCGAAATAAACGCATAATTTTTTGGGATGAACCATCAGCAGAGCCTAGTGCATTTGAAACATTAAAAGTATTGTTTGCAGGAACAATGTTAAATGTTAAAGTAAAATATGAAGAAGATCAACCAATTTATAGAACTCCTGTACTAATAACTAGCAATGTAGATATATTCCCAAAAGATAATGCATTCAGCACTAGAATGATAAAATACCTATGGAAACCATGTCATGATTTAAAATTTTTAACAAAGTATCCATATCCTTTAAGTTTTTATCATTTATTAGAAAGACATCATTGTTTTGATAATACATTATATGAGGAATTAGAAGAATTTCTTGTTGTGTAATAAATAAAAATATATTAAAATATTAATTGTTTTATTTTTTTATGGTGATACAATATTTATATTATTAAATCTACGAGTAAATGGTGTATTTGGTTGACTGGTATCTTCTTCTTCAACTTCATCAGTAGTAACAGTTCCAGTATTATAATATCCTGCCAAAGTTATAGTAGATGGATCATAAATATATGCTTTATTTGGAGCTACTTTCAAATGATCATTTCTGAAATGTAGAGAACCACTAGTATAATGAGAATCATAATCCATATCAATATCTATTTCTGTAACACATTCAAAATATATAGCTGTATTTTGAAAATTTGTAGCTTCTGTTGTTGGATTAATTTGTGGTACTGGTAGAATACCAACATGTAAAGATGGTTGTGCTTGTATTGTCGATACGTCATTTAATCCTTTATTTAAATATTTTTCTAAATAATTACTGTAATTAAATACAACATTACTAGTTAAAGTAGTTCCTCCATATTTAGATGTATTTGTAATATTTAATTTACCATCAGTACTTTGCTTCAAATTTGCACTATATGGTATAGCTAAAGCTGCTATAGCATATCCATCTAATGTTTCTGCAGTTCCAGCTCTATTCATATCATAAGCTTTTAATATTTTTAAATCACCTTTTTTAATTTTATATTTATAATGAATTAATGTTTTTCCAATATGGTGTTGAACAGCAAAACGATGTACTAAGTTAGCTAAATTTGGCAAAGAATTTTGATGAATTGGATAAGTTTTATTACCAGTTGGAGCTACAGAATAATTTAAAATAAATACATAATAATTACTTAAACTTCTTGGTATTCCCAAACAAGCAGCTCCTACATCATTATATAATTTATCTTGCATATCTGTATCATTATATTTATCAAGTGATGTTGGAACCATAGGACTTGCTGCATTTGCTTTATATTGAAAATTTGCACCAATTAATTTTTTATTTAAACCAATTGCCCACCATCCAATAGGAACATGTTCAGAATTTGCTGTAGCTGTTAAAGATGAACCAGTGTCAAATGCAGTACGAACTCCTAACACTTTAATATTACATCTAACTTCAATTGCTTTAGCTCCTTGAGGTAAAGCTTTAAATTCGGCTGGGGTTAAATAAAATGGTACCCAATCAACAGGTATAAGAGCTAATGAAGTAGTATAATTGTTTTGACTATTATCATCAATTTTAGTAGTAGCATATCCATAACTATAAAATATTCTTGTTTTCTTAAAAGTATATTGATTATGTCTACCTTGATTATAAGTTCCATCTATAAGTATCGAACTCGTGCCTATATTGCTTCTACTTCCTCCCCCATGACCGGAATTAACATTCTGTAAATCTTGTACTTGTGATAATGGCGGACTATCCAATGTAAAGTCCATAATATTACCACTACTATCAGGAGACTGCAAAGGACTAGAAGCACCCAAAGGAGATTTGTCAAGGGAATTTCTAATGTCGAACTTTCGGGAATAGAAGTCGTTACTGGTATCTGAATATCTATCATGTGCTGGCCCTGCAATTGAAGATTCAGGAGTAGTACTACTCGATGTTTGTTCTGATCGATATCTCTTCTTAAACTCTTGATAATTCTCTGATAATCTTTTTCTTGTCTTATAAGCTGCTGCAATTTCTTTTTATCTTTCAGCATATAATTTATGTCCACGATGTGTAGGTTTTTTTGTTGTTGATGACATAGGATATTGTACTCCTAATATACTTTCTCCAATATATTTACCTAAAATACCATATAAACCAAGTAAACTGTGCCAATTACCAGTATCTTGAAAATTAGTATAAAACTGTATTATAGCATCAATATCTGCACGTCTAATATTATCTCTATGTTGATCTATAATATATTCAATATCATGATTTAATGCTATTTGGTCATCTTCATCTAATGGAACACCATTTGGAACACTATTACCAGGACCGAGCTACTTATGCCACGGAAATAACATTTATTCATCGTTTTCCTTTTATACATATTTATATGCGCGGTAAAATTTAATTCCCCAATATATCTTCGATATAATTGGGCGGGGCGTGTGAGGTCTACTTTATTTTCATAAAATTTAAAAATTTGGACGGAGCGTGTGATCCAACCTTTATGTATGTATGCAGACACGTATATTTCCATTTGGAAATATCTTTTATGGATCTTAGTTCTCCACTTGACTGTAAATTTTTTGAGTTAACATATCACGCCAGGCACATGGATGGCATGATGATGAAGATTGAAGGCCCAATATAATCATTATCAACTTTAGATCTGCGGCAAATGTGTAAGAACTGACTCCACAAATAGTATGGAGTTGCAAAATCTCAAACATTGCTCTGATATTTTTGTAGGTTTCTATTATTTTGGGAGCCAATCCTATTATAATAAGTTTGTTTATTCCGGTACTTTTACGTTTTTCTTGTTTTATTTCGGGATTTTCGTAACAACATAAAGACAGACAAATTTTTAAAGATCGGCCACTGTCTATGCCCAGTTTTAAATGGAAATCATCAGTAAGTTCGCGTTTTTTAAACAAATGGTATTTTCCTTTTTATTACCTGGCCAGGCAGGTAAATTGGTCAAAAAAATCTCCTTAGGAGTGTTGCTTCCTACAACAGTAACCAACAGTTTTTTTAAAACACTTTTTTTATTTACTTATAGCTAGTACCAAATTGTTTTCTTCCTTTTTAGACTAAATTCAGTGTGTGTTAAAGTTATTAATTGTACTTCCTTAATTGTTAGTTTGTGGTTTTACTTGTTTAATAATACTTATGATCATAAAGTAAAATTTTATCACTAAAATATTAGAAAATAATATATTTTTTTGCTTTTTCCATTAGATTAAAGTCTATTTTTATTTAAATTTGTGCAGAGACCCAACCTCCTGGATTTAGAAACAGGGAGGGGGGCAAAAGTAAGCATACCTTTTGGCGATGATGGTCGTTATTTATTATTAACAAAACTTTTTGCCCGCTTTTTACTTCGGTTGAAAAAGTTTTTTTTTAAATTTGTGTAGAGACCCCAATTGTACGTCGGCGATTTTAATTTTTATATTTTTTTGAAGCCAGTGGTATCAGCATTTAAAAAATAAAGTACTCAAAATTTATATTTTTTTTTCTTGACATCTTGGCCCAGGCTAACCGTGAGGCAAAACTACCGTATTTGGGGCTCTGAAAACCCACGGATAGTTAAGGAGAAAGGAATGCATCCAAAACGTGTAACTGTTTCGTGTGTATTGTGGTCTCAAGGAATTATTGAGCCGTTTTTTTTCGAAAACGGGCAAGGTAATGCATTAACTGTGAATGGCGAACGTTATCGTGCTATGATAACACGGTTTTTTCTGCCTCAGTTGAAAGGTATTGATGTTTACAATGTAACGAAAATTTATTTTCGTTGTGCTTGCCTTCGGATTATTTTACTTTTAAACGAGGTTTTTACAGTTTGCAGTTTTACTCGCATTGACACTCGGCCTTCCGGTACCATACTTTTCCCCGGTTGGATGTCGTGCGTCGGATACTAGAATTAGATAAACGTTCAATTCGTTAATAATTATTTATAATAATTATCGTATATATATATATCATTAATCAATTGTTATAATCAATTAATATAATTAATTCATTTAAAATATATTTTTTATCGTTCTTTAATAATTCTCAATGGTACTTAGCAAAGTTGAACTTATTATTTGGATTTTAATATGTTTTTGTTCCACGATTATAAATTAAGTTGCTCTTTTCATGGATCGTGGCATCCATCACGAGAATCCATGGAGTACCAAATTACACCAAATGGTACGGTGTACAAAATATTGCAGACTGTAAAACACCGTAGATTGTTTTAGGCAATTCATAATACAATAGTTGCAATTTTTGGTTGCCTACCTACTGTTTGAGATTCATTTGTTTATTTTTAACAGAGGTTAAGTGAATTTTCCTTGTCATCAGTGCTAATTGATTAAGATGCAATTGTTTCCTTGATTTTTAAGGTATGTAAGGAGTCGTTAAGTATTATTTTTATTAGTAGTTAAAATTTTATCGAGAATTAGTTTAACAACGCATGACTATTTTTAATTCGATCTGATATGTCAAGATTTACGGGAGAAGGGGTAATGTTAATATAAAACTAAAAATTTTAAAATTTTGCCTTCTTCTCTTCTCATCTCTGCTCTGGTCATTTGGTCATTATTCCAATCTGTTTGAGATTTTCTTTTTTTCTTTTCAAGATTGCACGCTGAAGGTACGATTTTATTTGATTTTACTATCTGGTTCTATTTAACAATTTATTTCAGCAATTATTTCATTACTTATTAGTATCCTTAATATATTTTCCAACTGTAGGTAACTACCTATTGTTTTTTGCAAATTTTTTATATACCTAGCTACAGTTATTTTTCTCATGAGAGCACGTGTGTAGTAGTTTTGTAATTTTTACCTATAACTTTTATTTAGTACTAATTATTTATATATATATATATATATATATATATATATATATATATATATATATATATATATATATATATATATATATATATATATATATATATATATATATATATATATATATATATATATATATATATATATATATATATATATATATATATATATATATACAGGGTGTTCAAAACAAATGCGAAAAACTAGGGGTGATTCCTTGTTCAAAATAAAGGGTAGTTTGCTCTATAAACGTTGGGTCAAAAGTCAACCATTAGGGAGATATCGCGGTACAAAGATGGCGGAAAAATAATGTTTTTATTTTTTATCTTGAAAACGAAAAGAGATAGACTAATGAAATTTTATGGAAGCATTACTGTTATGAAAACACACTTTCAGGTAATTTTTACTTTTTTAAAATGAGTGGAAGGGGTTGAAATAAACTACCCCTATCATTCTTGTTAACGAAATTTAAAGACAAATCTTATCTATAGTATTATCAATAGTATATATATATACATATATATATATATATATATATATATATATATATATATATATATATATATATATATATATATATATATATATATATATATATATATATATATATATATATACGGAGACGCATACAACGTGGAACCGGAACACAGGTAGTTGTTCGATACAGTCAGGCTGTCAAGAACCATCTGCTGCAGGAGTACGATCAGGAATATCCCAGGAAAAGCAGGCCTTTGGTAAGTAAAGCTTTTATAATTTCATTATTAACGACTATTGTCATCTTTTAAAAAAACTTTACTTGCCAGAGGGTGGCTTCTCCTTACCTGGACCCTGTGGTGGTTATTTTTCTCGTTTGACTCCTCGACAGATAAGATTTTTCTAATTTTTTTTCTCGCCTTATCTGTCGATTAATTTATTATTAATAATATATTTTTTATAATTTAAATCGTCGTCTCTTCGTATTGCATTTTTTAGATCTTGTTTTTTTTAGCACGTGCAAAGTAATAAATAATTGGCTGATGGAACCACGTTTTTTAAATTTATCTAATAGAATCGTACCTGTAGTGTGGTAGTGGTCCTGCTATTTTTTATTTAAATTAATTTTAAAATTTCTTGACAGAGAGAGACAGAGAGAGGAAGATACTTTTTATCCTTACCTATTTTTAAAATAATTTGGACGAACTATTTAATTCTTAACTTGATTGAAACTGTCATAGGCAGATTTCATAATTTATTCCATTAAATTAAAATTTTATTAAATTTAATTATTAATATTAAATTTTCAAGTTTGATAGTAGAATTTTGTCTATTATTCATAATTTTTTATTGGTTGGCTTTTAGAGAAGACTAACAATTTATTGGTTAAATACCAATTTGTTTATGATGCCTTTCGGGTTAAAGTTAATTAAAGTTAATTTTAAGTTGATTTTTAGTAGTAGTTAATTAGATTTAATTTAAATATTGTTAAAGTAAATAACTATACCTTTGATTTAAATTGTGATTGACTCTCATTGTACATTATATTGGCAACCACGGACAGTCGACTTGGTACTGTAGAACACTACCACATAACTGGGTACTTAACCATTATTTGGAATAGCCATACTGCTGTTTATTATCTTCTAGGAAGATACGAGAACTGACCCTCCCCATAAGTAGCTCACGCACTGAGACTGGTGGAGTCTCACAAGCTCTCCAAGATTAGCCGGACAATCACGCTACCCACCAGCGGATGAGTGCAGCGAAGAGGGCGAGGCCTTTCTCCCAATCAACTGAAGCAGAAGCATATATCTAAGTATCCCAGTTAATTACCTATTTACATTATAATATAGTCAAGACTGTCACAGCCAGCCAATTGTACTATAGTGAGAAATTGTTAAGTAAATATAAGTTACTTTTAAAAAAAAATATATCTTGTTTTATTTAATTCCAAAGCATACTTCTAAATTCATCAACATCTAGAATTTTGTGGGTTATAACAATAAGTGTTTCAGCAAGACGGCGCCACTTGTCATACCGTCCGCGAAACATTAACGATTTTACACGAGTCCTTTCCGAACCGAATCATTTCCCGATTTGGTGACCGGAATTGGCCGCCGCACTCTTGTGATCTGACACCTTTGGACTTTTGCCTATGGGGCTACTTGAAGTCACAAGTTTGTTTCTGTTATTTAAAGATTTAAGATTTAAAATATTTATTAACATTTAAATTAAATCAGGATTTTACTGAAACTTTTTTTAGTGCGGTCGGTGAAGAGAAAATGTGATTTTACTAACAATCCAAATGAGTTCAAAAAACTAGTTTCAAACAGTTCTGAATCACCATTCGCCTATCAACTGTGACCACATGTGTAACCCGTAGATATTACATTTAGTAGATAGATGTGTGAAATAGAACTACGATGTCTTTAATTTCACTTCCCTATTATAGTTTCTAATTAAGCACAAAATAAATGCCAGCGAATAATGCATTTTTTTGGCGGGCGGATTAGAAACTGTGCATGTTTCTGCAAAAAAATGTCATTTTGTCAATGCTCTAATTGAAGAGGACTATACAGTTACACACTGTTTGACCATGATTATGTAGAAACAATGTAGACACTCACAGACTCCCACCTTATGTTGAAAATGTGATAAAGTATATTGCTGGATTATATTGTTGAAAAAATTGTTAACGAGAGAAGAAATTTCCGTATATGTGCTAATTTGTTAGTAGTCGATAAAGCAGGTTATTTAAATATTTAAGAGAAGTTGGTTTAAAATATTTATTAACATTCTTATTAACCCATTTTCGGCCATTGTTGCGTAAACGCAACAGTCACTTTGGCTGCGTTTATAAAAAAAATTATGATATTATACAATTTAATTATATTTTGTAGGGATAAACACCTATACAATAATGACCACTGACATATTTTAGTTTGGTTTAAGTTAGATTTGTTACCTAGATAATTTTAGAAAAACCGGAAATTTTTTTAATGGACACGTCGTATTTTTCAAATATCTTTTATGGCCCGTATTATACCAAATTTATGTGTTTTGATATATACATATTGGGGCCAATACTTCATATGCTTATATAAATTTGAGGAAATAAATCTATATCCTACTGTTTTTTTTAAGAACCACTCCAAATTTTAGTGTTGCGTTTACGCAACAATGGCCGACTACATAAAGTCTCGATTTAATTTTCCTGTCCAGACTTGTCAAACGGCAATCGTTACTATTATCTGTTACGACGTGCAGTGTTTACTTTGCGTTAACCACGAGCGTACGTGAACTAGTATTCTATGTAAAGCAACACTTTCAAGTGCCAAAATGCCAAAATTTCTCACATAAAGAATTAGAGCTAGCTTTAGAAGAAATAGTACAAGATTTGGACTGTGACAATCTAAGTAGAATATTACTTTTATATGCAAGACATTTTTAGATCACATGCTTTTGCATTTTAGAAATAGATGCTGTGTATATTCCGCCAAACGTAGACGAACTTACAGACGAAGAGAATTTTTCTGATGATGTCGAAAGACGAGAACAAAATGAAAATGCCGATATCGCGGGAACTTTTGAAATTCATACCAATGAAAATGACTTGTATGGTGATTCTGATGAAGAACCCTTGGCTGTTAAAAGGCAGAGGATTTTAGAGCAAAACCAAACCAATTTGAATCCCGTCTGGCGGTCTGGAAATTTTTTGCATCAAAATGTTCCGAAATCAAAGGAAGAAGATATGACCGAAGCTCTAAGGAAATCAGTTAGAGGGTTTATCATCATCATATATCGGTTTGGAACGTCTTGCGACGTTGTTCGATGCCTAACTTCCACGTCTCCCGATCGTTCCATTGTCCCTCGCTTAGATTTCTGGCACTCATTGCTCTTGTGACACCCTCCTTCCAAGTCTTCTTAGGTCTTCCACGTTTTCTTCGATGTTGGGGTATCCATTGCATAATTTGTTTTGGAAGTCGTGTGTCACCCATCCTCTGGACATGTCCGTACCACAGAAGTTGTTGGCGTTCGATGTCGGTTGCCAAAGAGTTTCGGACTCTATCTCTTCGCGAAATTCCTAAGGTTCTTCTATAGGCATCCATTTCTACCGCTTCCAGTTTTTTTTCGGTTGGCTTCCGTTATTCGCCAAGTCTTTGCACCATAAAGTAGACTGCTCTTTACCAGGGTCTCGTATATATTGATCTTCTGTTTCTTCCCTATTTCATTACTCCAAAATACTCCATTCAGACAGCCAATTGTTCTTCTAGCTTGTGATATTCGTTTTTTAATTTCTTTGTCATCTTTAGCTGTTGTATCAAATATCACTCCTAGATAGGTGTAGTCATTGCAGGCTTCTTTCTATCTCTTCATTTTCTAGATGTACGCTAGATAGTTCTGCACCAATAGGTAGATATTTAGTTTTTCCTGTATTTATTTCCAAACTCCATCGTTGATATTCCTCTTGTAGTTTCCTTGTCATGTACTCCAAATCATCTTTATCGTTGGCCATAAGAACTTGATCATCTGCGAACTGCAGGGTATATAGACAGGTATGTCCCAAATTAATGCCCATTCCATTACATTTTCTCTTTCATTGTCTCAAGGCCTTTGCTACATATATTTTAAATAATGTGGGAGAAACACAACATCCTTGTCGTAGATATTTATTGACAAAGAATCTTCCAGGTAATGTGTTGCCTATTTTAATTTGTGATTTCGATTCTTCGTACAAGTTTTTCAGAGCTCTAATTAAGGTGTAGTTAATGTTGGTGTCCTGTAGTACCTTGAATAGTCTGTTAACTGGAACGGTATCATATGCTTTGTGAAGGTCAATAAACATGAGGTGTGTCTCCTGATCAATACTACTTTTTTCTCTATTAGTTGCTTCAGACAGAAAATATTATCGGTACAGGTTCTCCCAGTCCGAAAACCAGATTGTTCCTCCTCTTCTTGTTGTTGGTATTCCTGTTCTATTAAATCTCTAAGGATCCGTCCGACTTAGGGTACTTGTTACTGATATACCTCTATAGTTGGAGCACACTTGTTTATTTCCCTTTTTGTGGATTGAGGATATATAGGCGATTTTCCACTCTTTTGGTATTGGGGCGCCGTTCAAGAATCTATTTATACACCAGGTTAAGGCTTTAAATAGTTTTTCTGTTCCACATTTTAACAATTCACCTGGAATATTCTCCGGTCCCGGGGCTCTGTTATTTTTCAGTGCTGCCACTGCCTTTTTCGTTTGCGGTATGTCGATGTTAATAACTTCTCCGGAAATATTTATCTCTGTGGGTGATATTGTGGCGTATTCCTGCCTATTTTCCGTTAAGAGTTCTTCGTAGTATTCCTTCCATTTATTCATTGGTATTAATTGTAGCTTGGCCGTCTGTTTTTCTGAGGTTTTGACTTGGTTTATGAACTTCCATGACTCGGCACACTTCCTTCCTCCCAAATAGGTATTTATTTCTTGACATTTCTTATCCCATATTTCTCGTTTTGCAGTTCTTATTTTTTGTCTTGTTGTTCTTTTAACTTCTAGATATGCGACTCTATCTTATTGTTGTTTACTACTTAGCCATTTTTTGTACGCGTTTTTCTTTTCCTTAATTAAGCAATCTATTTTTGGGGGACTAGAGGGTTTATCGCCTTTACAAATATTTTTCAATTTTTTTGACGATGCAGTTTTGGACTTGATAATACAATTTTCCGAAAAATATGCCAGGGATAATAACCGGCACAGTTTTCAGCTACCCAGAGAGGAACTGTTGAATTTTATTGGAATTCTTATTTTGTCTGGTTACCACCGGCTGCCTCAAACTGAGATGTATTGGTCTATGGATGTACTGGTCTATGGATGAAGATAAAACTGTAAATACAGTTAGAGACTGTATGAGTTGAAATAAGTTCAGAACCATAAAACGTAATTTGCATTTGAGCGACAACACCAAACTTGACATTAGGACTTCATGTTTTCGGCCAATGTTGCGTAAACGCAACACCGTTTTTTATTATAGCTCTGTATTTTTGTGTTTTTCTATTACCATATATGTAGTTATTAACCATTTTTAAGTAATATATTTTTGATTTTTTCAATAATTTTCCTCTATTTCAATGACCGGCCGAAAATGGGTTAACTTAAAATACTTATTAACATTAGAAACATTAAATTCTAGAAGAAGTAATCATCTCTTTTTCAATTTTAGAATTAAGTCAGGTTTTACTGAAACTTTTTTTAGTGCGATGAGAAAAAAAGGAGATCTTATTAACAACCCATATGAGTTCAAAAAAACAGTTTCAAACAGCATATAAAAGGCTTTGTAACATATAAAAGAATATTCCATGGTCGCTGTAAATAGAGTCCGGCCTGACTCACCATTCGTAGGCCCTATCAACAGTGACCACATATACAGACCGGACCACCGTAGTAGTAACAGGCAGAACTCGGACGAATTAGCATATACCCGTCCGCCGGATAAAAAGCAGGCGAAATAATGCGATAAAATAAAAAGAGGTAGATATGTGACAAGAATGTTTCAGAATTTGTATTTATTCGTGTTTTAATAGCCAAGACGAATACATAGATTCTCGCGACAGTTCTCGTGTAAAATTTATTTTTTAAGTAAAATAATGGATGTTTGCGAAATTCGTGAGAAAATTCAAGCTGTAAAAAAAAGGTATTTCCAAAATAGGTCTTATCGGGATATACAAACAATTTTTCCACAAACTTTTGTAAACAGGCCAATTCCATCTTTACCTACTACATATATCAAGAGTTATTAATAATTTTGAAACACATGGGTGCGTGTCCCCACAAAAACACAAAAAGCCTGATGAGTTGATTAATGAAGAACAGGAGTTGCTCCCGCGGATCAAAATCCCACGTTTTCAAGTAATCAAATTGCTGAGGTAACAGATTCTTAACCTAGCACGGTTAAAAGAGTCCTTAAAAAGAATGGATAACGATCGTATAAAGCGCGCATAACTCAAGAAATTTTCCATGAAGACCAATTTCGGCGTATGGCGTTTTCTGAATCTGTAATGGAAAAGGCCAATTTAGATGAAAACTTTATTCGGTGTATAGTTTTCACCGACGAATCAAGTTTTCCTTTATTCGGTCGTCATAACCCTACACAAGTACGATATTGGTCTCGGGAAAATTTGCACAGATATTTTGAGGTACACACAATATACTCAAAAGCTAAATGTTTGGGTTGGTTTTGTAGGGAGCATATGATTGGTCCATTTTTTATAGAGGGTAATTTAACTGTTGCAAAGTATTTGGACTTGTTACAGCAGCAGATTGTCCCTAGAATTCGTGAGTTATTGGGAGAAAGATTCCACAATGTCTGGTCTCAACAAAATGGTTGCCCTGCTCACAATGCCCGTATTGTTCAAGAATATTTGAACAATACTTTTCCCAACCGTTTAATTAGTGGACATGGAACTATTTTGTAATCCGCTAGATCCCCAGATCTTTCTCCCAATGATTTCTTTTTGTGGGGTTATGTAAAATCCAAAGTGTATGGTCATAATAGGACTAATAATCTGGATAACCTTCAAGTAAAAATACGAGAGGCTTCACGCAGAAAAATCACGGCTAGAATTAACTAACTAGCTCTAACTGTCCTACAACTTATTGAAGCTTTTCTTACAATTGTAGGAGTACATTTTATTGTCTGTTTGGTACTCGTCCTTCAATTTTGTGAAACGGAGCTGTAAACTCATGATTTGCAATAACATAGGATATTTGTTTTAGAGTAGTCAAATGCATCACCACAAAAACAAGTATTGAAACTCGCAAATTTTGTCATTGTTTGCTTTATTTTTGTAGATGTGTCATTGCCAGACTGCAAACCCTACACCCAATTAAATGCATTTCACCCAATTAAATGCACAAATGGATTATTGATGGATTTTTGTTCACTTGATGGATTTTTCAAATACTGCGTAGTTGTTGTTTTTCAATAATTATCTAGATATAAAATTGTGAAAAATAGTTTTATTTGCCGGGGCGACAGTTATATTAGCACTAGTGAGATGGTGAAACATAAAATTCTTACTTTATTTTGCGCACCAAATGATATATAGTCATAAAAAACAATTATAAATAATTTTTCACGATTTGGCAACCTTGCGAGGCGGAAGCCATCATCGCTTGGTTCAAAGGTTGTAGGTCGCCCGTCGTCCTTTGGTTTTTCCTTTCGTGACCGTGACCTGTTTAATTTATTTCACTTGTTGAATAATCGTAATACGATCGAGAAAACCGTAGTGTAGGTGTAGGTAGTGCTCAAATTAGCTGAAATATTCTTAAAAAATAACCGCCATGGCATGGTCCGCATTTTGGCGGGATCACCTGATCGCGACAACAATCACGATTGTAATTACCTAATTCTTCTCATTATCTAGAATACCTAGTGAAAGTCCGCCACAAAACTATGATCACATTATCATAACTCACAACATCGCATGCAATATACCTAACCTAGAGTTTTTTGTACCTAATTAAACTGCTGAAATTATTACGCATCAACACTATTTTTAGTGTCTATTTTAAAAGTTAAATGGTAGGCATCCGAGTAGGCATCTTACGTACTTAGGTAAGTTCGTAGCTCGGTTGGTAGATACTTTCTCGGGCTTGAAATAACTAGGTACGTCGGTATATTGGAATACAGTTGGTAGAGTTTGAAAAATCGGTTTTGTTCAATGATAAACATACTAACATAATGATAATAGGTGTGACGTCAATCTTTAGTGTAGTAATCTTAACTTCCGAGGTAACTTCCTTGCAATGTTAGGTCATCTATCCTGTTTAAAAATGGTCATACAAAGCATAATATTCTTATGAGACTTGCTGATGGCAGTGATGGCATCAACAGGATGACATAACATTGTACTACACCTGTGCTGATTTGACTTTTAAAACACGTACCGGATGACACAAGATGTTGTTACTACCCCCTCCCACTTTTTTCTACAGCTTT